GGGTATTGTTAAAAGGCTGGTGAAAATTCAGACTAAACCTTGACTTCCGTAAGACTAGATATAAGGCATTTAAAAATCCAAGAAGTGAGAATTTGAGTGCCCCTTCCCTGCCTCTGCTGCTCATGATGCAGGCAGGAGAAGAATAAGCATAACCACCAAAGAGAATGAAGGCCTGGGCATTTGTCATTTGCACATTTCTTCGGTGAATTGATTGACGAGGTGATACGTGATGGTGCTTATCTACTACTTTTGTAGAGATAAGTCAAGCAGTATGGGCCAACAGATGGGGATTGGACGTGATTTTTTAACCATATTCTGTGATTCACCCAATATTCTACTTGCTATTTTCCAAAGAGGCTGGATTGTTCTACTTTTATACTTTATCTTAAGCCATTCCTGCCTTTCCCTTTGCCTGCAGCTTGGGCTGTGCCGCTGTGCCTCTCCACTCTGTTCACCTTTGCCTAAATCCATCCCCTCTGACAAGGCCATGTCAAGTGTCCCCTCCCTCCCAGCAACTTTTCCCGGTTCCCTTTGCTGGAAGGGCTCTGTCTGCGGCTTATCAAGGCCCAGGATAGCCAAGCCGTGACTTTCTCTTAGAGTACCTGGAAAAGAGAGCATCTCTCCCACCTTATCTCTCAGCCCAGGGCCTCACACACCCTGAGCACCGCATAAATTCCTGCTCGGTTGACTTCCGTTGCTGAAGCACAGACCATCCTCCAGGGAGGAAACATGGATTCCGGAAGGTCTTGGCTCAGGGCCTTGTGGTGTGCTCACTCATGGGGGTTGTGGCCTTCTCTGGAGGGGGCTCAAATCGGGCAATGGTTTTGGATGTGTGGTTCAGGCTGATGGAGACAGCAGTGGGTACAGTGCTTCCAGTCATCTTAGGAGAGAAGAGCTCTTGACACGTACTAGTGAGCGCACACCTTCCCTGGGCACAGAGGGCCGGCGTGCTGGGCAGCTAACACAGTGAGTCATAGACCAGCAATGATTTTGGGTGGTTGACTAGGCTGGTTTTTAATTTCAAAATAAAAGCATACTGATTCTCATGACCTTTTTTGTTTTTCATTTTTCTATGATGGTTTTATTCAAATTGAAGCCACTGGCGAGAAGCCTCATTGAGATTCCCATGCCCACAGACTAGGTGTGTTTTCCTAAAACTCATGGGGTGGTTTTCAAACCAGTCCTCTAATTGTGCTTCAGACTCACCACCTTAAGTTCTCTTAGATCAGCAAATACTCCTGGGCTTGAGCTATGCCAGATGTCCTGGAATGCTTGCTAAAGCACAGGGCTGAGCCACCTCAAACCTCCTCATTTGCTAGGTCTGCGGGTCAGTAGGTGAGACACAAGAATGTGAATTTCTAACAAGTGCCCTCATCATGTGGATGCTGCTGGTCTGGGGGCCACATTTTGGGAGCCCTTGCTGTTGAACAGCAATGCGAGGTAGGGCCCTGTCTTGGGTCAAGTTTCCAAGAGGCAGAGCCTGAGGACCTACATACATTTTATAAATGTTGCTGTCATATGGTTCATAGGCTTTTTTCTTCTTCTTCTTTTTTTTTTTTTAACAAATCTTATTTTATTCAGCCAGCAGTCTGATCATACATGGGCCAACAACACTCAAATAATAAACATAATCAGATGTGAAAGACTGGTCTTCAAATATGATAGCCAATGATGCCGTGCTTGCCTATGATCTCTCCGATGTCAAACCACGTCCACACCTCCGTGGCCGCCAAACCATTCAGCACAGCTTTCTCAACTGTGAGCTGTTAGAAGCTGAGTCTGAGCACTAGTGACTGTCTTTGTTCAGGCTCTGAATAGCTCTAGGAATCTCAGCAGGGGTGGGAGGAACCAGCTCAGCCTTGGGGTGGTACCAAAATGTGGCCGATTGAGGCTTTGATTAAGTCACAGCAGTGTTTACCAGCACCGGGGTCTTCTCCACAAGGTTATGGACAAACTGGGTCATGGTTCTGGGACGGAAAGTCTGTTGCCCCAGCTTTTTCCTTTTGATAAACATAGCATTGTAAGCACATTCTCATGTTGTTATATAGACTTTATAGTCATTATTTTAAAGGCCCTACACTATATCTAATACATCTACCTCCATCTCCCCAACTAGTCTATGGTGGGCAGAATAATACCCCCCTACAAAGATGTTCGTGTCTTAATCCCTGGAGCTTATAAGTATGTTATCTTACTTGGCCAAAGGAACTTGGCAAATGTGATTAAGTTAATAACCTTGAGATGGGGAGAGTAGCCTCAATTCTCCAGGTGGACTCAATCTAATCCAAGCGTCCTTACAAGAGGGAGGAAGAAGGGTCAGAGTCAGATAAGGAGATGTGATATTGGAAGCAGAAGTTTGAGTGATTCAGGGCTGTGAGCCAAGGAATGCATGTAGCCTCTACAAGCTGAAAAAGGCAAGGAAGAGAATTCTCCCCTGCAGCTTTCAGAAAGGAACCCAGCCCTGCCACCACCTTGATTTTAGCCCAGTGAGGCCAGGTTGGACCTCCGACCTCTAGACCTGGAGAATAACACCCTTGGGTTATGTAAGCGCTGAATTTGTGGTAGACCTGGAGAATAACACCCTTGGGTTACGTAAGCACTGAATTTGTGGTCATTTGTTGCAGCGGCCACAGGCAGCTCATGCTCAGCCTTTGTGTGCCTGATCATGGCAGTCCCTCTGCCTTCCTGATAGAGATGAGGCACCTCCCCAGAGCTAGTGTTTACTGGATGGTGTTACATTCTGAGCATTGCACTAAGGGATGGTTATGTTATTTAATTTCTTTCAGTAACCCTCTGAAGTAGGTACCCTCATTGTCCACATGTCGTGGTGGGAAACCAAAGGATGCTGAGTAACTTGCTCAAAGCCACAGGAGTAACCAGAACTGGGATTCAGGTGCTGGAACTCTGTGGTGTGATTCCAGTGGCCTCCTGACCACTGATGCCACAGTAATGGCAACCAGTTGGGTCTTGGGGAGGGCTGCCTTGATCCTGCTCATTACCGATCATAACTGGTATCATTTATCAAACATGAACTCCACACCCCACTCTGCCCAAGTGCTTTCCATACTGTACTCTCATTGCACCGATGACAAGGCAGCATGTTTGCAGGAGGTGTTATTGCCTGCCTTTTATGAAAGAAGAAACTCAGAGTATGCAGCCCATCCACTGAGGTCAGCCTGAGGATGCAGGTTACAGGCCCAGACCTGTCTGACCTCAGCCTGTGCTGACTCCAAAGTTCTTAACCACACCTGGAGCCACATGACCAGAGCGGGTGATTTCTGTCTTCATCAGCTTTATTGTCAGTTCATCATGATGCATCATCTCTGCACAGGAATCCATGAGACCTTTCAGGCCTTACATTTGTACTTCACGAAAAGTAATCTGTGCACATCATCTTAGATAACCGCCTCTGTCACTCAGTAGCAGTCATAGATGGATGCACGGCCCCACATCTGAATTAGAGCTGATGGGGCTCACTGTCGCCCAAGGACAAGATGAGACATAGCCAGGCTTTGGACAGGTCAGTGATAGCCCTTGAAATTCCCTCGAGCCATGTCCTGACCCCTTTGCAAATCTGCCAGATTTGAAAATATGAAAGCACATTATTTTCCTCATAAAATGCTTTAAGTTACATCCATGCAGTGCTTGAGGGTGGGGATGTGTTCTGAGAAACGTGGTTGGGGGTTTTGTTGGTGTGTGAACCTTGTAGAATGTACAAACCCAGAAGGTACAGCCGCCTACGCACCTAGGCCGTATGGTATGGCCCCTTGTTCCCAGGCTACTACAAACGTGTATAGCATGCGCTGTGCTGAATACTGTGGGTAATTGTAACACAGTGGTAACTACTTGTGCATCTGAACATATCTGAACATAAACAGGGTGCAGTAAAAATAGAGGCTAAAACATAGACAATGGTGCACCTGTAAAGGACGATTACCATGAATGGAGCCTGCAGGACTGGAAGTTGCTCTGGACGAGTGAGTGAGTGGTGAGTGAATATGGAGGCCCAGGACAGCATTGTCTACTACTGCAGACTACAAGCATTGCACACTTAGGCTACACTACACTTATTTAAATAATTACACTATGACGTTCTGAAGGCTACAGCGTCACTAGGTGAAAGAATTTTTCAGCTCTATTATAATCTTATTGGACCACTCATACGCAGTCCTTCATTGACCGAAAGGTTGTATGCAGTACGTGACTGTATATCTAAAATTCTGATAAACCTTTTTGATGAGTTGATAAAGGCAGGATTCTAGTTTAGGGAACTATTTTCATAAATCTCTTCTTTCTCATCACCTGCACTAGGAGTTGGGGAGCCATTCATTACAGCCCCTTGAAAAATCACCTTCCCTGGAGTATTTCCATTGCAGAGGCAGAGTGGTGACCCTGGGCTGCAGAAACTGGGTCTCTTCCTGGGCTTGCTTCCTACTTCCATGTTCATACCATCTCCCTGTGTTTGGTTCATGTTTCTACATTAGCAACCTGACAAAGGTCACTGCTAGAGACTGGGGGGGCTGTGTCTGCGTGAGGCCCTGGCAAACTCTGCAGTGCTGCTGAGTTGCATCTAAGAGAAAGCTGCTGTGCAGGGCTCCATGAGGCACTCAGGGCAGGTGTGGTGGATGAGGAATTCAGGTGAAGAGTGGATCTGTAGATGTGTCCACTGTTATTAAGCCAGTGACTGGGGGATCCAGGACTAGAACCCCATTTCTCCAGTGTTTAGTCTACTGCTCTGTGCAGTTGGACCTGACAATATCCTTAGGTATCTCTGTGGCAGACACTCACAGAAAGGCACATGTGGGGGATTTTACATAAAGTGTCTCATGATGTTATCACTAAATTATCCTCAGAGGGTCTAAAACAGTTTTGTATCAGTTTCTGAGTCACCCATGACCCTGCCGGTAATGGTCGCATTAAGAGGCTGAATGAAGGTCAGTTTCTATTTCAGCCATTCTTCCCTGTAGTGATGCTGGGAAATGTATCGATGGGAAATCTCTTCTGCTGAGCACAAACTCGGGACACTGGCAAATATGATAGGGCTAAAATTATGCAATTATGACTGAGTCTAAGGAACATAAGGGATTGTATGGAAGAAGAAATCTTGCAGCTGAATAAACTATGTAATAAAGAACCCAGAGAGGTTAAATGGAGGGAATGGAATAAATGAGAGAAATGTGTAAGATTTTTGTCATGGTTTGACTATCTGGATTTACTACTGGCTGATAGAATATGTGAGTAGGTGACATTAAATTTTATATAGAGTTATATATTTCATTTTATCCTTTTATATACTGCAAAGTGGCAATATTATCTCTTTTGCCTAGGATTACAGGACAAGTACCACAATACAAGCGATCAAATTGCCCTTAAAGATCTCCAGTCTGATGTTACAGAGGCGAAATCTGACTTCACCAAGGTAACATACATTTCTAACTTCTAAAACAATCAGCAAAATGCACCCATCCATAAAACATAATCACTGGCCTACTTGTGATGTGATTGCATTTTATTTTATTTAGTCAAAAATTGAATTAATGCAGCAGACAATCTAACCATCAATGACTAGGACCTGTTACGTGAAAGCATACACGGCAGCTTCAATTCTTTTATCAACTTCAAAAACAATTTGTAAGTTTGCAGTGTCTTAGAATATGGCGATTCCTCTCAATTTTCAACAAAATTTGTCCTCTGGAGAGAGAGGGAGAGAGAGTGAGGGCGAATCGTGCCATACAGCATGTTCAAGATGCGAAAGAGGTTCTCTGAAATCTAACAAGCTGGTATAGGTTGTTAGAACTGCAAAAAGTGTCAGTGGTCTGCAATAGGGAAGAAAATTAGAGGTCATATTTATAAAACGAAATATTTCAGATTCTAGGAACAAAAGAGCTTGGTGCACAGTGGTTAATATTGTCAGCGTGTCATACACCAGGCTCTGACTAATGACTGATTCAGTTAACCCTTCCCATAGCCCCATGAGACAGGTACTGCTCTTATATTAATACCTAGAAATGAGAAAACGACAGCTTCAGTAGGCGACTTGCCCCAAATCTCACAGCTCGTATAACCTGCCTGGCTCTGAAGCTTTTGTTCTTAGCTTACTCTAAAAGACTGTCGCGGTAGAAGGCTCTTTTGAATTAACGAGATTTACAGTATGGACTTTCTCACCTTAAAAAACTGTCCAAGATGTTACAGTTTACAAGGCATCTGCTGTCTGTCACAGATGGAGATTTCGCTGCCCATTTTTATAGTTCTAAGAGAGAGTGGAATTATAAGAATTGATCTCTCATAACAGATTAAAGTAGAAAAGATATCTGTTAAAATATTTTTTTTTACCCAAAATGCTTGTGTTAGGTATTACTTTGATTTAGGTCTGCGTTTAATAAAGCTCTACATTTCCTTCAGAGACTCAGTGCCTGAAATCCCACGAGAGGGAGAAAGGATGTTATTTGGGTTCCTGAGATTTAGTCATCAATATTTAAAGCCCTTTCTATGTGAAAGCGCCAAGCTCACTGTCTCAAGATGTAAAGATGCATGGCTATAATCAATCTGTTCCCTGGAAGCAGGAGCCGGAGCCCTGGGTTTGGGGAGGAAAAGGAGTGGAAAGAGCAGTGCGTCATTCAGAGCTGTCCTTGGGTGGACATGCCAGTGAGGGGGAGAGAGATTGAGTCAGGGAAGGGTGTGGGGATGCAACCGCTGCATTCCACCGCTACTCTTTTTTAAGAAAGACGTCAACTGAGGATCTTTGTCACCTGTTTTTCCCATTGAGCTGGCAAATCTCAGCATTTTCCTGTTGATTTCAAAAATTAATCAGAGTTTTGTCCTAATGTTGATGTTGATGTTTGTGGCTAAACATTAGTCACTAATGTTGAATGTTGATGAGATGGCATTCACTCATTCCCAGCAACACACCCCTTGTGGCTCTGTGGCTGTATCCCTGTAATACACACACACACACACACACTCTCTCTCTCTCTCTCTCTCTCTCTCTCTCTCTCTCTTTCTCTTTCTCTCTCTCTCTTTCTCTGTGACTGAGTTCAATGTCTCTGGAAATTATACCTCCTGACCACCTGCTCTGGAATCATCTGGATCATCTAATTTGGTCAGAAGGTGACTCAAATTTCCCCCCTAACTTGGAACATTTAGAGCTTGTCCCTGGGTATGCGCTAGAACGCTGCCATGAGAGGATGAAATACACCAGGGACTGCCCTGCTGTCCTGCCACCGTGGCTGCCGTAAGTCACCGCCTCTCCTCCAGGGCCCACACAAGATTGATCACTTGTCCATCCAAAATGCATTCAAGCCGTAGCAGTGATAAGAAGTCACCTTTTCTGGCAAATGATTGTTTAAAAGGAGTAAATATGGAACAGAGTTATCTTCTTTAAAATTTTTTTTGAAATTTTCCTTTTAATAAAAGTAATAGCGACCCTATGCAGAAACAGGAAAATACAGAAATGTATAAACAAGAAAATATTTATCTATCCATTTTCCCCATGGATTTTAACATAGGACTGTGATGCATATTAACTTTGATAGCTGTCTTGCATTATTCTCTTATCCCATCACAAGCAATTCCTCATGTCAATTAATTTATTTGTAATTTGTATTTTTAATTTCTACAGAATATAAGATGCAGTTGTGCAAGCATGATTTACTTACCCACTCCACCTTATAAAAAATACAGTGATTCTTGGTGGTTGTCAGAGAATGAGGAAAAGGGACTGGGAAGTTAGTATTTAACGGGTATAGAGTTTCAGTTTTACAAGATGAAAAGAGTTCTTGAAATAAATCGTGGTGATGGTCGTTCAACATTATGAATGCGTTTTATACGCTAAGTTGTACACTTAAAATGGCTAAGATAGTAAATTTTATTTAATGTGTATTTCACCGCAATTTAAAAATTGGGGGGAAAAATAAATTCTTTCTGGCTTTTCTCTGCTCTATATCAGGATGCATGGAGTTCTTTATTTTTAGTAACTGCATGGAAAGGCAAAAGTTTCCCAATGGAGAGTGAGAAAAGCTCAGATTTTTCCATTTGCCTTAAAACTGCCTTCTCCTGTTGCTACATACCAGAGTGAGTTCATATATTGGAAAATGCCCTTCCATTCAGGATGAAATGCCACTAGGTCAACAGATTACCTAGTGATGGTGGCTCCAGATCAACTCAGTGGAGGAAGGCAGTTTTGCAGCAAATGCACAGGACTGCAGAGTCTTCTGTGTGAAGCTGCAGCCAGAGAATCCTCGGGCAAATAAAGGTTGCAGAGCAGCAATGGGGAAAAATACACGTTTCAAGGTAGAGATCGGCGGAGAGGCTTATTCTTGGGAGAAATAAATTGCTACAGGGATGGAGGCATCCTCACTCCAGTGGCTTAAGAGCTGATTCCTCTGATCATCTGCCACTTGTCTCTTTCTGACTTCAATTTATGGAATTATGCCCTTCTTAGAAATACCTCTTAAGGCATAAACATGAAGTTAAAAACAATCAATAAAAGCACAAAACTATGAAAGCAGTTACCAGCACTCCAAAATCATCTTTGAAACATTTAAGAGATATCAATATCTTAAAGCAGCATCTATGAGAAAGAAAGTGTAAAAAATGTGTTGTGTGGTGATGGTTAGGAAAGGGAGAGTTTACTCCCAAAGCAAGACACAAAACCCAGCTATGCATCTGACCCCTCTCCCACTCGAACATTCCACTGAAAATATGAGATGATTTTCTTCTTCCTTTTAAATCAAATCTTAATTTTATTTCAGATGAAAGAAATCTCTTTGTAAAGACATGTTGAGTTAATCCAGTAGAAAGAAAGATGGAATGTCACTGTGAAACAGCTTAATTTGAGAAGATATTGGGTGTAAAATATGTAATTACTTTTTAAAGAAAATTTGCCCAGCTTTAAAAGTAGTAGACTGATTGAACTGAGGAACATTAAATAACCCCCATTTCATTCCCTCCTTGGCCCAGAAGAGGGATGGAACACAAAGTGATGTGTTAGGGGCTGAATCACATCTGCCCAACCCCTACTAAATTGATATGGTGAAGTCCTGTCCTCTACTTTCTCAAACTGTGCCTGCATTTGGAGGTAGGACCTTTAAAGAAGTGATTATGGTTAAGCGAGGTCATTAGGGTAGGTCCTAATCCAGTCCAACTGGTGTCCTTATAAGAAGAAAAGATTAGGACCCAGACATGGGGCAGAGGACAGATGGAAGACTGTGAAGATGTAGGAAGAAGGTGGCTGTCTGCAAGCCAAGGAGTGGCCTCAGAAGAAACCAGCCCTGTGACACTTTCATCTTAGACTTCCAGCTCCTAGAACTGAGAAAATTAGTTCAGTTGTTTAAGTCATGCAGTGTATGGTACTTTGGTGCTATGGTAGTCCTGGCAAACTCATACATATTTTGAAGAGGTTAGACGTTATCTTCAATTATTGAACGGGTCTCACTGAGAGAAGGGGTTTGATACACAGAAGAATGTGCTGTAGAGGAAAGAGCAAAGGGCCCCCCAGTGTTTCCTTTTCCATTTCTCCCAGTTTTGGGGACTCTTGTCAAAGCTGAGACTACACACTGGAAAAATGCAGCCTTTGGCACATAGTAGGTGCCCAAATAAATATGTGGGATGCACAGTTAAAGAGTTTGACCATGACTGTGTGTTATTAGTAATAGAATTGCACCTTAAAAAAATTATGTGACTTCTACATTTCTATCAGCGAAATTTCAATGTATTGGATATATAATGAGTCATTTCTATTTGTGTAATTCAGGCAAACTGAAATGTATTCCATTGTAAATTCCACTGAAATATGGTATCCCTTTGATGTGAACACCCCTCACCCCTTTGTAGATTGGATTATGTCACATATCCACTCATTTCTGCTGGGTCATGGGAAGAGTATGTACCCTAGAATTACATCACACATTGTATTCTGAGAGGGCAAATCGATTTTTCTTTGGAACTGGGCATTCATCAGCATTTGTCCCTCAGGAGCAGTGTCACCTTGACATCCTGAGTGATTCCAGGCCTTCAGAAATAAGTTCAAGTTTATGCTGTTCATCAGTCCTCTTCCCTCATCCATTCACATCTGATAGAGTAAAAAAATCATGGCTACACTTGCTAGGACCTACTTAGTGAAACAGTGACTAGTTCCTCTTTTTTTTTTTTTTTTTTAATACTTTAAGTTCTGGGGTACATGTGCAGGCCTTGCAGGATCGTTATATAGGTCCATACATGCCATGGTGGTTTGCTGCCTCCATCCCCCCATCACCTACATCAGGCATTTCTCCCAATGTTATTCCTCCCCAATCTCCCCACCCCCTGCTACCCCTTCCTTAGCCCCCCAACAGACCCCAATGTGTGATGTTCCCCTTTCGTGTCCATGTGTTCTCATTTTTCAACACCCACCTATGAGTGAGAACATGCAGTGTTTAGTTTTCTGTTTTTGTGTCAGTTTGCTGAGAATGATGGTTTCCAGATTCATCTATGTCCCTGTAAAGGACATGAACTCATCCTTTTTTATGGCTGCTTAGTATTCCATGGTGTATATGTGCCACATTTTCTTTATCCGGTCTATCATTGATGGGCATTTGGGTTGGTTCTAGGTCTTTGCTATTGTAAGTAAACAATGTGGCAATGAACATACATGTACATGTGTATTTATAATAGAATGATTATAATCCTTTGGGTATATACTCAGTAATGGAATTGCTGGATCAAATGGTATTTCTATTTCTAGATCCTTGAGGAATTGCCACACTGTCTTCCACAATGGTTGAACTAATTTACACTCCCCATGGTGGCTAATTCCTTATCCCGTACTCTGGGCTTCTAGGTTCTTCTGGAGGGATGCACAAGCCTGCAGTCCCTCAGCACAGCCTGGAGGCATCCCTCAGCATGCAGGGCCCTGGGCTCTGGCTAGGGCTTCATCCTTGTTGAAGGATGTATTTCCCATCCTTGTTGTTCCAGGATGAGATGGCATTCACTCATTCCCAGCAACATACCCCTTGTGGATACCAAGCTCAAGGCTGTCATGGTGCCCTGAGCCTGGAAAAGAGGTACTCTCTTGATACTGGAGACCACAATACGAGGAAGCCTGGAGGCCCCACAAGAACCACCCCTGTTTTCTCTTTGCTCAGCAGCTGGGGAGGCCAAGGCCCTGTCCAAGGTCCTGTAGCCAGTATGGGAATCCTGGCTCACACTAGACCCCAGGTGGCCTGAGTCCTTCCCACCATATCCATGCAGAAGAATCACCTGGGAGCTAGTGAAAGATACAGATTCTAGGCTTTATCCCCATAGATCCTGATACATCAGGGTCCAAGGAAGGAGAGGTCTAGAAATCTGCATTTTTAACATGTGCTCCCCACCAAAACACACTCTCTCTCTCTCTCTCTCTCTCTCTCTCTCCCTCCCTCTCCCCCCCCCTCCCCCTCTCTCCCCCCCCACCCCCCCCCCGTGGTTTCTCTGCAGGCAGTCCCTGGTGCAAACTTTGGGAAACATGGCCCTATAAAATAAATCTGATACTGCAGTTTCCAAAGTGGATCTTTTTTTTTTTTCTTCAAAGAGCAGTGTTAAAGAGTTTCTACTGGGTATGATTGCACTCCTTGTAGGGTAGACAGGAACAATTATGATCAGGACTAAATTTAACTCTAATGAGAGGGACTGTGTACCAAGTGAAATAGGCACCAGGTGCACTTCAGCTTCCTCGTACGTAAACTACATCCATAAAAACTGCTACGGGGGAAGGGATTCAGGATGCCGCAGAAGCATTGGGGCTTCAAGCTGGAGTCACGCTGGAAGCTCTATGAACACCGATGCCTGGGCCTCCCTGCCCAGGAATTCTAATGTAATTGTTTGGGAATGAGGCCTGGCCATTGGGGTTTGGACGAGTTCCCAGGTGACTGATGTAGCTTGGGCTGACAACTGCTGGAAAGGAAGCCCTACCTACCAGGACTTCCAGCAGAGCTAGCCTCAAGGAAGCAATGTATGATATGAACTGGAAGTCTGAGAGACCCGTTGGGCTAAAGAGAGGGCTGAATGTCCCCTTTCATGACTCAGTGCTACTGCATGCCATTGACCTTTTTTAAAAAAAATGAAACCAGAGATATTTTGATTTTTTTTCATTTTAAAGAATTTTTAAGATGCTTGGCACTGTAATTGGCACAGATTATACTATCATGAACAAAACAGGAGCTTGCCATTCTAATGGATATGATGGGTTAGGGGGACAGGCAGAGAAATGACACAACATGAGATTTTAGCACAAGGAAATAATATAGAATAGTGTAAAAGATGGCATGCGATGAAAGAGGGTAACTTGAAAAGGATACCAGTTACTTGAAATTTGTTAGGGAATGCTTTGCTGCATTCATTTTTTTTTTTTAATGAAGTAAATTTTAAAATGACTCTCCTGTCTATTCTTTTTCACTCATCTCTGGGTATCTTTTGAATGTACAACTTTCCATGTATCTTAAAAAAAACACATATAACGTGATGGAGGTTGTCACGCAAAATAAGCCAACCACCTTCCCATGCCTGACTGTAAGGGCAGAAAGCCCCTCAGGTGGCTACGATCACTCACACTGGTCCTCCCGCAGCCACGTGGACTTGCAGCGCCCAATGTCCAGCTTGGGGGAACATGCAGTTATCTAGTCAGCAAATATTAGTCCTGCCCTGAAGAAAATAAAAATGCTACTGTGCTTGCTGTCACATCTTGGAATAAGCAAATACCCCTGCTTCCACCATATACGGGCCCTTTCCTTCCAAAATATGTTGTATTGAGACGACCAGCAGCCTCAGACCTGCATGCGTTTCTCAAAGTCTGTGACCCAGATCACCTACATCAGAATCACAGGGATGTCAGTTGAAATGCAGATGCCTGGGTGCCACCCACAACCTAAGAACCAGTCTCTGGGGCCTGGGGAACTTGCAGTTGTAAGATCTCAGGCCATTCTCTGCGTGTTGGGATTTGAGAGTTGCTGTGGGAAGTGCTGGGCATCCAGATCTGCCCTCAGGCCCCCAGAGCAAAGATTCTCTGCAAGCAGTGGGAGCTTAGTGGTTACATATATTCCAGATCCTGTGCAGCTCTATGCAAGGATTCATTTTAAGCGTGTACCATAATGAACATCTAAATGAGGGGCCTGGACCCTGTTAGCATTCACCAAATGCTGGGGTATAGTCCATCTTCCGTGTCATATTTTGTAGTGCTTCATACATAACCGTAATAAAACAAAATAAGGACAGAAGAGATTCTTCTTTCCGGTCTTGACCTGGTTAGATGCTTTGTTAAAAATCATGGCACACTCTTTTGGATACCTGAGCAATGTACTGTTAGGGCGAACAATCTGCTGATCAGGCAAAATGAAACACCTCAATCATTTGCAAACACTGGACAAAAACTCATGCTTATGCAGCTGATCGTGGAAGTGCAGCAAAGCTACATGTGTCTTGGTCCAATGTCCCCTGCCCCCTAATTCTGATAAGTGAAATCAACTGATTGTCATAGTGTTTGTCTGGGCAAACGTGGGCATTTGCTTTCTATTATTTTGCTCTCTGGACTTTGACTTCCGTGATGCCAAGCAGCAGGGAGCAACTGAATTGGAGTCTAAGCCAGCCAGTGTAGAGGACTGCAAGGGACCGAGGTAGTGAGGGGGCTCCTGTAACCACCGTCGCTATTTCCTTTCAGGAGTGCTGACTCATCTCCCACATAAACCCATGGCACCAAGTTCCAGCCGACCTCTGGAATTCTCTTTCCTCTCCATTGAGGATGTGAGCCATATTCAGGGGCTCCTGGGCTTGATGGAGGTGGTTTTCAGGATTAGATGATCCCCATTGAAAAATCATTAGATAAATTAAGAATAGATGCTCAGCAGAGATAGCCAATTCACTACACAGGCTGATGTTTCCAGAATGTATAGCTTGTCATAAACATCTAGTTTTCCTGCCCTTCCTGCCATCTCTGACCATCAAATGTGCAGCAAAAAGCCTTGGACAAGACATCTGAGTGTTACAAACCAAGTGCTCCGGCATCCTGGTGGCCTCTTGCAAGCAAGTTTACTGCCTGTGTTTCGATAGACTGCTTGAATAATCGGGATCTTTTTCTGTTTGCAGGAGACCCTGGCATCACAAAACACAAAAATGATTTCCTCCATAGTAATCTCCCAGATGATTGATGAGAATAAGTCGAGAGAAAACAGGGCCTCCTTGCCTCTGCCGTGTGCGATGGCTCAGTCTCGTGGACATCACATCAAGCAATCTCTGGCTAATCGCAGCAGAGTCAACATTCACAGGGCATTTGCATTCCTACCGGGCAGATTAGGAATCCCAACACCGTCAGATGAGCGAGGACCTGAGACAGAACTGCCACCCAAAGAGGAGAGCCCCTGTGAGGGCCCCCGCAGAGGTTTTGCGTCCATCACCATCACAGCCAGGCGTGTGGGCGCCCCAGCCAGCGCCCTGGTATGGGGGACTGTTGGGGACTCTCTGTGTCCTAAGTGCAGGGCTGAGGACACTGTGTTCCAGGCGCCTCCAGCTCTGGCCAATGGCCCCCATCCAGGTCGGCACCAGAGAGCTTTCGCCTGCACAGAGTTCTCCAGAAACAGCTCGGAGGTGCGGCTGAAGGTTCCTGAGGCCCCCATGGGGTTGTGTGAGAGACGCAAGGCCTGGGTCACCCATGCCGATGAGACCAGTTTTTCTGCAGACACCCCACTGTCAGGAAAGAGCCCACTGGTGTTCAGTTCCTGTATCCACCTCAGGGTGTCTCAGCAGTGTCCAACTTCCATCTATTACGTAGACAAGTCTCTCTCCATTCCCTTTGAGCAACCTCAAATTGCCAGCCCCAAAATGCACAGATCCGTCCTGTCGCTCAACCTCAATTGTAGTTCCCACAGATTAACAGCAGATGGAGTAGATGGCATAGTGAACGGAGAGCCAATAAGCGCAGGCCCGAAGCAGGAGCTCGTGGAGGGAGACCAGGACATCCTAGGCCTGCGCTGGAACCCAGGTTTACAAGAAAGTCACTTGAAGGAAACCCCATCATTGGGGCGGGTGCATGTGGGGACTGACACATGTCCTTGGAGTGATTCTTTTCCATTGGAAAACACAGAATTTGCAGACGTGGGAACTAACCAGGTCACCGTAAGAAAAGGGATAAAGGACCATGAGGCTCATTGTCATGCCAGCGGTCATGCCAACCAACTGTCCATTCACATTCCTGGCTGGAGTTACAGGGCAGGTGAGTGGTGCGTCCATCTGCAAGAGGGTGGCCTGTGCCAGTGCCCTAGCAAGGTGGCTGTTGAGGGAGATTCTTTTACAAAAGAGGCACGTCTCAGTAGACTTGCAGTGATCTCTCTTCACGGTTGATGACTGATAGCCCAGCATCGATGTCTGATTGGATAGATTTTTTTTTTTTTGGTTGAGACATTTGTAGATTGTAAGAGGCCTTCTGTCAGATTCCTGTTTCCAATAGTTCCAGATCATATGTAATGAGAAGGAAATAATGGCCCCCAAAGGAAGTTAATTTACAATGTGCCCAAATCGCGTTCCAAGAGAGGGTGAGAAGAAGGAAATGCCATTTACCCCCAGATGTTTCAGCTCTTTCTTGCCAAACATCTGTGTATTTGGAAGTGTCCAGAATTCTGCACTTTTACTTTTCAAGTTAGCCTCATTGATATAAAAACTAGACCACAAAGCTTCACAATGGAGTGGGGGGTATGTGTGTATGTGTGTGCGTGTGTGTGTGTCTTTAGTAATTATAGGACATTTTCTAAATTAGGTAAGTCAGGGACTCTGTGCCAAATAGCAGCAGCAGCAGCAATCTTCTGTCCTCCTGGTTGTGTCTTACGGGACATCTCGGCCAGTGTTTGTTGCTGTTTCTGCCATTTCCAGGGCCAGGCACAGTTCCCAAGGTGGGCTGCTCTGAGGATTCTTCACGTTTTTTGGGAAATCGAAAGAGGAAAGCAGGCCTTTTTTGGAGGAGAGGCCAGATTTCTTTCTTTGTGTAAATTTCTGATTTTCAACTTTACTTTCTGTGAGAGGCTCTGGTTTATGAATTACTTTCTATTTGGTAAAAAAATAGTTAAAGATATTATTATACAATTGAAAATGCAGAATATGCATAATTTATGGTACAATTTTTGTTCATTAAAGCTTTATTAATAAAAATTACTATAGACCATTTTAAGTTATAATGTGTATAGACATGTTAAATGATGTAATTACTTTTAACAAGTGTATATATATTGAATGCCCAGAGATTTTTAAAGCAATTTTGACATGGCTTTCAGATTGATTAAACCATTGAAATGCATGTCTTACAGACTCATTACAAGAAGGACAACATAAGCAGCTATTAGTGTTCCAAAGATAAATCCTACTTTAGTATTTAAACAGATTGCTCAGGCTAAGTGCTTCATCTTCCTTATTGATGAAGATTCCAGAAATATACCACTGCATTGTTGTATGCTATGTCAGTTAAAGCACATCCTCATTTCTAAACCACGTTTCCTGGTGTGAAATAATTGGATTTATAGTACTTTTCACCAAAGGCTTTTCATTAATGAGAGCCAGATCTCAAATACTCATCTCAGAGGAGGGCAGCAAGAGTCTGGAAAATTCCCCCAACTTACTTTTTGGCTTTGGTTGTGCAGAGAAGATTTTTTGATTGTGATTTTGTGAAATGACTACTCGGCAAGAGATTATCTTAAGCAAGTAGTATGAATTCGTTCTACATCCTATGGGCCAACATCCCCCAGGAAAAGCACATATCCCAAAGATTCACACGTGGAGCGTTTGAGTGACTCTAAGCCGTGGGGCTTCATTCTATCACTTGAGGAAAGAGATACTCACAGAGACCAGAGGAGCCTTAAATACCTTTTCTAAAGTTTCAGTAGCTTTGGGGGTACAAGTGGTTCTTGGTTCCATGGATGAATTATACAGTGGTGAATTCTGAGATTTCAGTGCACCCGTCACCCAAGTAGTATACATTGCACCTAATGTGGTTTTCTTTTAAATTCCTAGACCTACCTCTTACCTGCCCCTTTCTGAGTCTCTAAAGTTCATCACAACACTCCATGCCTTTGTGTATTCCTAGTTTAGCTCCCACTTTGAGAACATTCGGTTTTTGGCTCTCCACTCCTATGCTACTTCACTTAGAATAATCGTCTCCAGCTTCAACCAAATTGCTGCAAAAGACATGATTTCATTCCTTGTAATGGCTTAGTAGTCGTCCATGGTGTACGTGTACCACATTTGGAGCGCCTTTCTGTAGAGTTGTTGCTCTATTATTTCTAGCTCAGTGAATGTGAACACGTGACACTCTCTGAGCTCCTCATCTGGGTAACTAGAGCAGGGGGAAGATTGGGTGTTTTTCGAGGTCTCATCAATCTTCAAAAAATTCAGCTCTATTTGCCCAAGGTGGGCTCTACAAAGAGAAGAGGCTCCATGTGACTCTGGGCCCTTCAGCTGCAAAGTCCAAAGCCACAGATCCCTGGTGCACACAGTGGGGCACTTGCTGCGGATGCCTACAAATGTACACTCTCACCTATACGTGTGCCCTGGCTGTGTGTTTCTCACTCAGAAACTAATTTCCAGTGGACCATATTTCTTCTCAGGTGACAAGAAGGCACATCTGTCCATGCTGTAGAATTCTGGCCTGAAATTTACCAGCACAGCTCATTGACTCTAACGACCATAGGCTGTCTTCACACAGTCGGCACGATGTTTTGAGGGTGAGCTTGCTGACCTTCAGTCCTGACAAAACCTTTTAGCCTTAATGCAAGTGCTTTCAGACTGCAGCAACGCTCATTAAAACTCAGAGGAACTGTTTATATTTTCCTGTCTGAAGCTGGAATCCTATCTGAGACATCCTTGACAGCCTCCCGTGGTTACACATGCTATTAGCAGTCTTCACACTTCATAGTTACTGAATCTGATGCTTTTTATCTGAAGGATTCCAAAATACCTCATGAGCAGAATCTTCTGTTGACTGGCTTACTGACATTCAGCTGCTTGGTGGGTGCAACCTGGGAGATTCTACAAACAGAGGCCAGGCAATTTTAGTTCTAGTCATTAGGTCATTGGACAGAAAGTTCTACAAATTGTATTCATGAATGAGCCTCCAGGATATGCACCCAAAAGATAAGATTAGGAAAAATGAAACACAAGCACATCATGCAATTCAAATAGCTGTGTCTACTGAGACGTAGCATTCCAAAAGACACGTGGGCACCTGCTCCCCTTTCGGGCGCTGAAGGTTAAGGAATTGGTTCTCTCTTTGCTTATCTCCTCGGTCCCTGTATATTTTATCTTTGCATCTCTATTGTAGGTGAGCATTGTACAAATCCCCGCATCTATCATAAAATTTAATCCCCATTCTTGTCATCATCACCATCATCATCATCATTATCATGATCTTATTCATAACCACAGCATATGTTGTAGAAATCCTAGTCACTAGGGCCTGGGCTGCATCCATTATTTTGAGTCATTCAACCATCTACAAAAAGAGTTCACTTGTTTTTCAGACAATACAAAAGGAGGCTTGAAGATTAAATGATTTGCCCAAGTCCACGTGGCCAACTGGTTCTAGAGGTGTGTACTTGTCTCCTGCTGTCCAGTTCTCAGTGACAGCCCCAGGCAGAGCAGTTAAGATGGTGGAGACTCAATGGCTGGCCCCACCTCCACTGCCACTATCAAAGGTGATATCTGAAGACTGCTTATGCACATCTGGAGTAATACTAGTATTTGGTTGCCAGATACCCCAGTAAATTATTAGGAGAGTGAACTCCAAGTTAATTTGTGATAAAATATAAGCTGTATCATTTGATGCAGTTAAAATGTATTGGCTCAGAAATCCTTCTCAGCCTGAAATCCAGTTATTTGTGGTGGTCTGTGAACTACACAATGTTGGTCTGAATGATTCCCACCTCACCGGATGTGCATGCCTGACTCACTATTGACTTAGACACGTTTCTTACTGCCAGTTTTATGTCTATCTGTGGCTTAAATCTGAAGCTTTCCCCCATTACTGAGATATCCAAGTAGAGGGGGCAAAATCTTCCAACGATGGTAGGTGCTGCTGAAGAAGAGACTAGTGAATACTGTACACTGTCCGCAGCTATTTGTGTTCGCATTTCATGGTGGTGCTGGAGCTGTGTACTTGTCTTACAACTCCCTCAGCCAGTGCACAGGCTTTGGTGGCATTGGTCTGAGATGTCCTCAGTGGAGTTTAGCATCACTAATGAATAAAGATGTGGATGGATGGAAGGCAGAAATCCCTGCCAGTTCTCCAAATGAGTGCCTACTTGTACTTAGATGGCATGGTCTGCCAAGCTAATAATGAGGCCTAACCCCCTCCAGGTTTCCTGAGGCTGATGCCTCTACCCTGCAGATCTTCGCCACTAGATGCAAAGCTTACACCACTCAAGTGCAGATAACAAACCATGTACATACAAGCCAAGCCTACCCATAGGGGAAAGGCCTGCAGTAGATGCATACTCTCATCCCATGAGGACTTTTTACTAAAGGGAACAGAAGATATTTTACAAATGTGATTTTTTTAATCATCTAGAATTGGGGTGAGCAACCTTTCCTTTTTCCCTTTTTTTGTAAAGGGCCCAATTGAAAATATATGTTTGGCTTTGCAGGCCATATGGTTTCTGTAGCAGCTACTCAACTAACTATTCAACAGTCTTCAGATACCACCTTTGATAGTGGCAGTGGAGATGGGGCCTGCCACTGAGTCACCACCATCTTACCTGCTCTGCCTGGGGCTGTCACGGAGAAGGGCACAGCAGGAGACAACTTGCTGTTGTATGGCAAAAGCAGCCATCGACAATGTCTACATACATAAGTGTGGCTGTTGCCAATAAAACTTTATTTACACTAACAAGCAGTGGGCCAGATTTGGCCTGCAGTCTGTAATTTACTGACTTCTTGTCTAGTTTTCAAATAAATCCATCCCCCAAGATAAAACTTTACTCTGTTCCCCAGTATTGCATGTTGGATTCTCTAGAAATCAGAGTCTGAGGTGGAGATGAATGGGCAGGGCATTTACTGGTGAGCGTTCTTGGATACGACATCCATGAAGGGAAACAGGACTGGGCAGAGGGATAAGGTGTTCTGTGGTGCAGTCATAAGGAAGGCCTCTGCCAACCACTTAGGGAAATCTGACCTTGGGAGAGACAGCTCTCTTTAGTCAGCCAATTCCTACAGGGTGGATTGCCAAGAGCACTC